GATCGATAGTGGAGTAACCAGGCCTGAAACATGCCTGGAGTTCAGAGATAACATGGTTCTAATCACACCATAAGTGGTGCCTCTTGTTCAGGATAGCGGCTGGAGTTTTACTCAGAGTATCAATTAATGAAATTCCTCTATAATTTCCAGCAACATCACGGCTCTGGGCACCAGAAAAGGGCTTCACAAATTGAACCCATGTTAGGAATCGAACCCGGGTCTTCCGCGTGACGAGCGAACGCCTTAACCTCTAGGCTACCCCGCCGCCCCGTTTCCGTCTTGAAGCACTAAGGATTTACTCAAGCTGTAAAAAACTAACAAAAATAATGTTTGCACCAGATTGGCCCATAAGACTCCAGCAAAAGGAAAAATGAAATTCGAGTTAAAGTTATCATTTCTTATTAACTTTGTGCAACATCACATAGCAGTAGGAATGGGCTTGGCGTGACCAGCAGATTGATAGCACCCGCTTCATTCTACCACCTGTATTGGTGAAGTAAAGGCCGAAGTGGTGTATTGGGCAAATGAACGCTTTTCCTGGATCCAGTGCCTCAGCCACCAGAATTCCTTCCTCCACTGACACAGGGGCGCAAACCATGGCAAATAGGTTGCAATCCAGTTGCCTTTTACGACCAGTAATGAGGTCCGGAGGACCAATTCCAAACGGGTCTCAGCGGTGGAATAGCTGTTGTCATTAAACAGTACTCAACACTTCACGAGTACCTCATGGGTGATGAAGACTGGGTATGCGAGCAGTTATTCTACATACACTCTTTAAAAAGAGAAGCGCATAGGTGATTTTGAGAATATTGGACTCATGTAATATCTGCGGCAAAAACAATGCAAATATACTATTTCTTTCCCAAACGTCTGTTCCTTCACTTGTTCTGCGGAAGATACTAGGCCGTGTATGTGACGTAGCACATAAGCTCCGCCCACTGATGAATATTCATGATTATTCTACACTTAAGACCATTCTATATTTAAGGTCACAACAAACGTCATCTTTGTGCGATTGTAAACAACTTCAGCAGCAAAACGCGGCAAAAGCGTTTGAAGTAATATTCGCAAAACGTCACCAAGAAAACATGCAAAGCAAACTGCACATGCAAGTAAGTGGAAAATCATGCGGTATCAATCACTATAAAAAGGCAAACGTTGTGTGTAATTTTGTCATTCATCTTTGCCTGGAAGATCCGTGAAGATCCGGGGTAGAATAGGTCTTCAGCAACCCATGCTTGCCACAAAAGGCGACTATGCTTATCGTAAGAGGCGACTAACGGGATCGGGTGGTCAGACTCGCTGACTTGGTTGACACATGTCATTGGTTCCCAATTGCGTAGATCGATGTTCATGATGTAGATCACTGGATTGTCTGGTCCAGACTCGATTATTGACAGACTGCCGCCATATAACTGGAATATTGCTGAGTGCGGCGTAAAACTGAACTCACTCACTCACTTTGCCTTGAAAAGAGGAAATCATCATGCCACGACTGAGTGCCGCCAATCGAAACATCCCCATAGACCGCCGTGAAGCTGGGGAGTCACAGTCTGCAGTTGCCCAACATTTCCACATCAGAGCATTATATTTCGCCTTTGGAATTGTTTCCTGCAGACCAATTCTGCCCAAGATCGTCCGTGAAGCGGCCGTCCAAGAGCTAAAACCAAAGCCCAGGACCGCTACATCCGGGTTGCTGACTTGCGTCATCGTCTTGCCACAGCCTGGTTTCAGAAGAATTTCCGATCACAGTGTCAGGAATCGATTGCGTGAAGTGGGGATTTGACCGAAAGGCCAGTTGTTGCCCTTTTTTTGAGAGACTTCCATCGCCGCAATCGCTTGAGGTTATGTCGTAGAGTCAGGAACTGGAACCTTAGAAATTGGAGGAGAGTCTGGCTCAGTGATGAATCACGATTTCTTCTTCACCGGCGAGATGGAAGACAGTGTGTCTACCGTTGGAGAAATGAACGTATTGTACATAATTGCAGTCGACAGGTCGACAGATTCGGTGGAGGCAGTGTCATGCATGGTGTGAGATGCGATATACAGCGCACAAAGATCTGATTTAGTGGTGGTTTAGGGGAATGTGACAGCAAATCGGTACATCAACGGAGTCCTTACACCTCACATGCTTCCGATTATGGACCGACAGGGGGAGTTGTTACAGCATGTCAACGCTACTTCACATACAGCACGCGTCACGGACCGCTACCGTGCCATTTTTACGTCAATCTCCAGCCATGGCCTTCCAGATCACCAAACCCGACAGAACACCTATGGGATGAACTCGATCGATGTATAGGTCAACGTTAAAACACGCCTCAGACACTTCCGTAACTGACCATCGAATTTAATTCATCACTGGTGGTAGGGTATGGAATCTTTTAATCGTACGCTTTTGAAATTCTTATGAACAGCAAATGTGGCTCTTTGCCTTTCAAATTAAATCTGGTCGATTTGCAGTTCGAAACACGGAAAAGGGTTGGCCTTGTAACAGTAATTCTACTGAGTACAAAGTGGATGGTTTGAATCTTTGTTCATATTATAATTTTGATATAATTTGTTGGGGATATGTAGGAATATATCCCTTTTTCACTCTATCTGTACGAAAAGTAACGTGTGTGTGTCGTGTGTCATTGAGAGAAAGAATCCCTTCATAATGCTTATTTAGTAGGCATAAACACGGCATGCCAAAAACAGAATTTACCAACTCTGAAACGTCTAACACCACACTTCTATGACTTAAATTAATGGCTTTGTAATTCTTGCAGAACAAACAAACCCAAATTCTGATCTTCTATCACTTCCACGAAGTTACGCAAAGACAATGACAATTTGGAATATTCAAAGAAGTGAAGGTCGTATAAAGACGAAGCCAAGAAATTTGACAATCTGAGGATGGGAATGGAATTTCCAGACTTCACCCAGACACAATAGTGCCAGTAGGAAGACAGAACCGATCGCTACTGCTGCCAGTTGCTATGTACGTCGGGTATTTGAATGTCAGTTGCCTTGTAGAATGTTAATACATTCATCGACCCGTTACCTGTGAAGATCCGGGTTAGAACTGGTCTTCAGCAACCCATGTTTGTGGTAAGGGGCGACTAACGGGTAAGGTTTGCTGATCATGACGGGCAAGGCACCATGTAGTCATATATCCATGCAGATTCCCGCTTTTTGCAGACTGCTTCATGACAGTATCTATGTTTTAAAGTAATCTAAAAAAAATATATAAATTGTTAACAAAGTCATACCCGTGAAGATCTTAGAATTGGTCTTCAGCAGCCGAACCAATGGGATCGGCTGGTTGACACATGTCATGCTATCTCTATTGCCATGTCATGGTATCCTATTGCCATGTCATGGTTTCCCTATTGCATACATCAATGCTCATGATGTCAGTCACTGGAGTATCTAGTTCCGACTGGATTATTTTCATACGCAGCCATATAGCTGGAATATTGCTGGGCGCGGCATTAAACAACCCGTGAAGGTCCGGGTTAGAATGAACCTTCAGTAACCCATGCTGGTCGTAAGAGGCGACTTACGGGATCGGGTGGACAGGCTCGCTGACTTGGTTGACACATGTCATCGGTTCCCAAATGCGCAGATCGATGCTCATGCTGTTGATCACTGGATTGTCTGGTCCAGACTCGATTATTTTCAGACCGCTGCCATATAGCTGAGTGAGGTGTAAAACTAAACTCACTCTCACTCATCTGCTGATCACTTGTATAAACTCTTCCTTGTATAAACAATGCCCATTATCTGTACATCTCACTCTTTCATCTCCTGTTTCTTATCCAATTTATTGGCTTTTGCACTTTTTTACTTTTAGTATATATACCCATTGATGTAGCGTGTTTTTTTACAATTCAAGGAAAAGCCCAGAAACGTTGTGATACTACAATAAAGAAGTTGTCACCCATAATATAGGCAGCCTTCTGTTGAGTTAGAGGTTACAAATTGATGTGTCAGATGACGTGAGCTGAAATAAATCTAATAATCATTTAAGGCATGCCTCAAACTGTGCATTATCTTATGTGGCAGCGTTCATGTTTTACAACTATATTTGTGATTATTGTAAATGGCAGCAAATCAGATGACGCGCACGTAAAATGTGTTCCCTGGGTCTAAGGTCATGGTCATGATCTCCCTTGGTGATTACAACCCTTCCTTGTCCTCATAATGTAAAGCTTCATTGTTAGGAACTTGTGTATAGACATGTTCACAGATATGAACTTCCGGGAACTGCATGGTTGTCTGGTACAGACTCGATATTTACGCATTGTCATATTGCTGGAAAACAGTTGAGTGTGGCGTAAAACAACAAGCATATAGCAACGATAAATTCCATGACGAACAGCTTATCTATTTAAGAACAGGAATAATTGTGATTCATTCCTTAACTCTTGTCTTGATGAAAGCTATGTTTACTCATCACAGGCCCATCAGACTGGACACAAAAACATCTCTGCTTCGTCCAGTGTCTCCTGTATATCTTTAACTTAGAGCACGTGTCTAAACGTTGTCTGTTTGGTTGAACGACGATAAGACACCGGGTGTGCTAACGTCTGTTTACTTAAGCAAAGTTAATTGAGCACTTCCGTCTTGTCAAGTGCCTTTGCTTTCTTTGAATTGCCCGAGAGTAGAACGGAAAATTCAATATTCGCCATCTTTGAACGATGTTTGTTTGATGTATAACACCGCACTCAGCAATGTTCCAGCTGCAGTCGAGTAAATAATCGAGTCTAGGCCAGACAATCTACTGATCAACATCTTGGGCATCGATCTTCGCAACTGGGTTGAGATGACATTGGTCAACCAAATCATCGAGACTGACCACCCGATCCTGTTAGTCGCCTCTTACGACAAGCATGGATTGCTGAAGACCATTTCTAACTCGGATCTTGACGGGACCACCTGATCCGGATAGTCGCCTCTTTCGAGACTCAGACCCTGATCTTGTCTTAGTTTAACAGAGTAAGAACTATAATATCTGATGACATCTTTATTCAACTATGTACGACACAAAATACAATACATTGCGTTGAATGTGTTGAAAAAACTCCAAGATAACCACTTTTGTAACACATTTTGTATTCAACGATAAACACTGACTGAGAGACAGAAGTACAGACGGAAGGACAGACTAGCGATCTTTATTCAGATGGGGACAACACAAAATCAAAAATATAAAAAAAGGCAAGTCATTCTGTTTTCGTTGATCACACTTCATAAAGAATACATAAAAAAAAAATACGGACCGACATAGTGAGTTTAGTTTTAGGCCGCGTTTAGCAATATTCAAGCAATGTCACGGCTGGGGACACCAGAGATGGGCTTCACACATTGTACATGGGGAACCGAACCTGGGTCTTCGGCGTGACGAGCAAACCCTTTTACCACCAGGCTACCCCACCGAGCCTAAACAGACATAGAGGGACAAAGGTAAATGGACTGAAGGACAGATCGATGATGTCATCTTTATATTTAACTAACGACTACAAATCAAATGCACTACACTGAATGGTTAGTTACTAAGCATGTTTTTTCGTTACACGAGGTAATAATAATAATAATAACAATAATAATGCATTTGTTTAAGCGCCTAATGTCCAACCAGTGCTGCTCAGTGGCGCTGTGCAGAGAAAGTGGAGAAACTAGTAGGTAGCTAGAAAGAGATGAGTTTTTAGTTGGCTCCTAAATGCTTCCAGGGAAGATACTGATCTCAGTTCAACTGGCAGAGAGTTCCACAAAGCTCTGTCTCCCATGGATGTTTTTGTAGCTGGCATTTTCAGGGTGCCGCTTTCCTCAGACCTCAAGACACGAGTTGGACGATAGATTTCGATGATGTCTTTGAGGTAAGCTGGTGCATTGATGTCATAGAGGGTTGAGTAGGTGATGCAAATTATTTTGTACTGTATTCTCCTCTTTACTGGGAGCCAGTGCAACGACCTCAGCACAGGGTGATGTGTTCCTGACATTTTGTCCTGGTTATGATCCTGGCAGCTCTGTTTTGTACAAGCTGGAGATGTTGGATTGCTGCTGCTCCTGACACGAGGAAGTTACAGTAGTCTAGGCGTGAGATGACGTATGACTGTACTAAAAGTTTGGTTGTGTCAGTACAGTCGAGATAAACAATAAACCATAGATAAAAAACCCAATATGATACAAGTGCTATAAATATTCATACATTAAAAACCTGGATCAGTCTGTCACGGTAAACGAGAAATACAAATTATTGTTATGAAATATGGCAAAGGGGACTTCTGTGAGCAAATCTGATTAAACTAAATTCATCGTGCTTTCCGGAGACGCCAAAACCTAATTGCCATTAAAACGCTATTGACATTACACATATCGACAGACCTACACTTGATAATTTTAAATAAATGACAATACATTTTGCCAGAACGGCTATTCAATATGGCTAACGTAGCGGACATGTTTTATAACACGTTAACGATGATAAGTATTGACACGTTCCAGAGACTTTACCTGTATATTGAATTATGAGTAACACAAGCAATACAGAAATATTAAGTACGCAGAATTAAGGTACAGATACGTGTGATGGTGTTACTGGAAATTAATTATACCAAGCAGGTGATTTATATTAGGGTGCTTTGAACAGAATTTCAGTTCGGTAGTTAAGCTTTGAGAAAAGAGCTTAGTAAAGTAGGTCATGGAGAATGGAACCCACGATCAGATCCTGACACGGAAAAGGGAGATAAGTTACATTTCTATCTAGTAATGATGGTGTGTATGTGCAAAGGTGATACATATTGTTTTAAAAAGAAACATAATACAGGCGTTAATATTTAAACAGTTTGTTATATTAAAGGGAATTGGGACAAATCAGTATAAAAATGGTGGATAAGAGAAAACGAACATTTTGCAATATCTTTATGACAAATATTGTTGTATCATTTAATCTTGCGTCTTTGTGTTTAGGACATTTTGGCTAAACATATGGGTTCCTGTTTTCAAATGAGGAACAAAAATAAACAGAATGAAACGGAAATCACACCAAGTTACTCTAGATAAAATAAAAGTAATAATATTCTAATTACTAATATATTTTGGAAATATGAAAACTTAGAAAAGATCAGTCTGTTCTCCGAATGGATACAAGCATTGGTTGCGAACAGAACACTGTCGACACGCTGCCAAAGAGGTCGACTATTTCGAGTAGTAATACATCATTCCGGAAGTGGGTCTCAGACCGAATGAGGCCTCCAGTTTCCCCACTGCATCCGCGAAAGTAGTCCGGGCCTCTGGTCTCTCTTTCCAGCAGCTTTGCATCAGAGTGTAATGGCTGTAAAAAATAAACACGAGACATTTTGCTTTTGTTATACAAGAATTACCTAACCATTTCACATGATTTACAGAGCACCGTTCATCTTAGCGCTACTCTCGTAAAAGCTCACAATCGTCGCTGGGATAACTTTGTGAAGGAGGATCCATATCATTTGTGTGGACCGACGCTTATTTTTATTCAAGTATTACATTGCTGCACACCTAGTACGTAGCACTTGCAGACCACGCACACACATTCAGGCGCGCGCACACACACACGCGCACGAAAGTACTTCGGGTTTCATAAGTCAGTTAATGATTATATGATTAGCCTGTTATCCGCCTGAATCGTTCTTCATGCATTTGACCACTCGCTTATTTGATCCTGACTCGACTATTGACAGGTCGTCGTGTCAAATCTTGCTGACATTTTGAAAAATTACCTGATCGCCCTGATAACGTAATATGAAACATTATGGTATAAGTATTGTGATATAAGTATACATGTATCTAACCACTTACACGTCTTCAGCGTATTCCGGCTTCGAGAGTCTGTAACCATTCATAAGCTGGGTCGGCAGGTCTCGGCTCCTCATTTCACCGTAAGGGATCTTGCCTGTTGACAGATAAAACACAGGGTATACACTAAAACTACCTCAATGAGCTCAGACGCATCAGGACCCGTGAAGAACAGGGTTCGATATGGTCTTCTAACGTTAGTAATGGGGCTATTTATTGATTGCAACATGTTTTTACCCATTGTATTGCCTTTCATGCTTTTAACCCCATTAGCGAATGAATCAATATATCTTGTTGATAGTCCGTTTTCTTATGCCATTATTCACTGAGTTCATGGGCGGTGGAGTAGCCTAGTGCTTATAGCGTTCGCTCGTCACGCCGAAGGCCTGGGTTTTATTCCCCACATGGGTACAATGTATGGAGCCCATTCCTGGTGTCCCCGGTCGTGATATTGCTGGAATATTGCTAAAAGCGGCGTAAAACCCTGCTCACTCACTGAGTTCATGATCTAGAGCTGTCCACACATCAGCTGCTGAAGATCAGTTCTAACGACCCGTGCCGATCCGAACATACTTATCATGGAAGAATATTTTCACTGAAGGACGGTCAGTGCTTCAAGCCTTAGGCCAAAAGGACCCGCATCAGTATATTGTTCCATAGAACGTTCTGTACTTAATGGAACCCATAAACAAAGCTAACTGAGTCGTTTAAATGCTGTTTTAATCCTCTTTGATTCAGAGTTAGTGTAGGTCCCAAGCAACATTTGCTTTGGGTAGGAACTCAAGACTAAATTGATCAGGGCGGGGTCAGGCTTGGAGACATTGATTGCATGGCATCGCGTCCAGAAAACGCCGTTCCATATAACAAGTCGACTGACTGGCTTGTAAACGCCTCAGTCACATAGGCAGCATGTTGACAGCATTAAGCATCAGACTAACTAACCAGGCAGAAACATTTAAAACCATACTATAGCAAAACTGAACCAAACAATACCTATTGATGAAAATTATTGAAACAATTAATAAATTGTAAAATGCAAATATTATGGATGACAACTTCTTTATTGTAGTGTCACAACGTTTCTGGGCTATTCCTTGAATTGTAACAAACAAGATACATCAATGGGTATATATACTTAAAGTACAAGAAGCCAAATTTCATGTATATACAATAAATACACTGACAACTGAGTTTGGTTTAGCAATATTCCAGCAACATCACGGCGGGGATACCAGAAATGGGCTTCACACATTGTACCCAGCCGGTCTTCGGCAGTTGCCAATGCTTTAACCATTAGGCTACCCCACCGCCCCATAAATTGGATAAGAAACAGGAGATGAAAGAGTGAGATGTACAGATAATGGGTAATGTTTATACAAGGAAGAGTTTATACAAGTGATTAGCAGATGAGTGAGTGAGGTTAGTTTTACGCCGCACTCAGCAATATTCCAGCTATATTGCGGCGGTCTGTAAATAATCGAGTCTGGACCAGACAATGCAGTGATCAACATCATGAACATTGATCTGCGCAATTGGGAACCGATGACATGTGTCAACCTAGTCAGCGAGTCTGACCACCCGATCCCGTTAGTCGCCTCTTACGACAAGCATAGTCGCCTTTGTGGCAAGCATGGGTTGCTGAAGACCTATTCTACCCCGGATCTTCACGGGTCGATTAGCAGATGTGGGTTGAAGCCATTAGTGACCTAATTGACTTTCCAGGCTCTTGGGAGGTATGCTCCTTGATCCCTGTTCAGCTGCGGTTGTAATTATCTTATCGTTAAAGACTCTGATATATAGTTTGCACTTGCGCCAATCATGGACATTGGTGGTGAACTCAGTTCATTGTTGCCGGTCAATGGAGTGATTTGGGTTTTTGACGATGTGCTCTGAGAGAGCTGATTTTTGGTCCAGTTTTTGTACATCATCCATAATTTCTAAATGCCTCTCAAGAACCTTATCAATAAATTACAAAAATGCCTAGGTTCACATTCACATACACATCCATTACAAGCTACGTTCACACAGACATACAGTTTTCCATGACATAATTGAGAAAATCTTTGTTTCGTAATGCTTATAATAGATGTTTAGATTATGTAGGAAGGTACTCCATATGGGAGGCAACTCTTGCAGGCTTATGCATGAACCTTACTAACATCAAGAGTTACCTCCCTGGTGTAGCAGACGGCTTCCTTTGTTGACCGATGTGACAGCAGAAGAAAAAAAACTTGTTCTAGAAGATGATTTTGAAAGGGGTGTGACTAATGCAAAAGAGTTAGCTGGTAGACATGACATTCCTTTGTCTACAGTATACAGAACTTTGAATAATGTTCAGTCAGGAGTTGGGCGTGATCACAAGATAGGGCAGTACTACGGATCCGATTGTCCGATTGTGAGTAGGGGAAAATTGAAAAGCGTTTGAAGATATCAGAAATGAGATGATTAATAGAGGAAGGCCTCAGGTATGTAATGAAACCTTTAGACAAGAATTACAAAGACTTAATTGGGTGAAAAAGCGCGGAATGTTCTCACCACTGATGAAAGATGCACAAAAATAAAGACATTTAAACAGGTGTAGGGCTCACGAAAATCAAGATTGGGATAATGTTTTCTTTTCTGATGAAAGTTCTGTATGGCTTTTTCGAACTGTTTGAAAGATTTGGAGAAAAGATACAGTCTATCTATCAACGTTCAAAACATAGCCCGAAATTTCACATGTGGGGTGTGATATCATTACGTGGAGTGACGCCGTTGTGTATTCTCACTGGAAATTTGACGAAGGCTCGATATGTTGACATCTTAAATGATCACCTCCTTCCAACGGCCAGAACACTGTATGAAGATAATTGGATTTTCCTGCATGATAACGACCCAAAACACACTGCGGGCAAAACAAAACAGTGGTTGTCGGACTAAAATGTTAAAGTTTTAGACTGGCCCAGCTACAGCCCAGATCTTAACCCTATCGAGAATGTGTCGGGACTAATGAAGGACAGAATAAACCAAAAAGGACTTAGAAATATTGAGGATATGAAGAAAAAAAATGGTCGAATATCGGGATAAGCTGTCACACGATTTCCTGCTAACCATGACCGGTAGTGTACCTAGGCGCATTAACTCGTGTATTGTAGGGCAAGGAGGTCTCACAAAGTACTGAAAAGGCACTTAGACTGAGAAGAGAATCATATCTCAACATATTCATTTAAGTAAAACTATATACATGTATGAGATATTTGCCAAAACAATTTCTCAATAATTTCATACATACATACATACATACATACATACATACATACATACATACATACATACATACATACATACATACATACATACATACATACATACATACATACATACATACATACATACATACATACATACATACATACATACATACATACATACATACATACATACATAGACACATACATAGTTACCTAATTACACACAACTTTTCAATGCATATTCAAGAATATATTTGTCACACCTACCCATGCTGAGGATCTCCCACATAGTGATCCCAAAGGACCAGATGTCACTCTTCTCAGTGGCGTCATTCAGAGACTGGAGACATTCTGGCGCCGTCCACTTCACAGGATTCGATCCTGTTTGTATTTGTAACATATCAAGTTATCAACGCTCAGGGTTTATGTCATTTTGAGTAAAATGCCTTTTCATGGTTACGTCAAATGTCTTTAAGTTCAATGGCCGGATGGGCAATATATGATACCTTACTGTTTGTGTGCTACTGAGCCGAGACTTATCGTTGGTCTCCATTCTGATTTGCCTGGGCGCCGGGCGCCGTGTCACAAAGTACAGCTTCTGCTGTGAGCCCATGTTAAAGTATGAAGCTTCCATAACTCTTAGATTTTGTTGTTGGAACGAGGGACTTTGTTTAGACTTGATTTCTGACTAGCAGCAATGATGTAGTGACCACTCCTACACAAATGTATGTTATATATTTCCCGTCTAACCCTTACTCCTTATCATTGTTACAATTGGTCTATTTGAGGGGCCGGATGGACAAATATGTTCCCTTACTGTTTGTGTGTCAATGAGCCCAGATTTGTCGTTGGTCTACCTCTGATTGGCCTGGGCTATGTTCCACAAAACACAACTTCTGCTGTGAGCCTATGTTTAAGTTTGAAGCTTCCCTATTTCTTTGAGTTACAATTGTTTATGAAACGAGGGCCTTTTTTAGCTGGCCGCAAGATATATGTTACATATTTCCCTTCTTACCCCTTTGGAGGCATCATCCGCACTGGCGTCCTCCATGCGACTAGGTCCGAATCCACTGACCATCACCTCATTTGTGCTGGTCAAGAGGCAGTTGCGAGCAGCCAGTTTGCGATGGACAATCTGGAGAAGGACATTGTATTGAGCTAAACTGGTACAGTCTTTGTTTTCCATGAGAACAGGACATATCGCTACATGTGCCCCATTCTTGGTCCTACCTTCATGCTTCATGTGAATCACTTAGGTCAAGGACACGTGAAGATTCGGTTGAGAGTTGGTCTTCATCAACCAATGCTTGTCGTAAAAGGTAACTATCGTGATCGGGTGGTCAGGGTCTCTGATTTTGGTTGACACATGTCATCGTGTCCCAATTGGGTATATTGATGCTCATGATGTCGATCACTGGATTGTATGGTCCAGACTCGATTATTAAGAGACCGCTGCCCTATAGCAGGAATGGACAATCTGGAGAAGGACATCATATTGAGGAAGCTAAACGGGTACAGTCTTTGTTTTCCATGAGTAAACACAGACCATATCGCTACACGTGTCCATTTCCTTCTTTCTAAGATGAAGTGCAAGACACTCCTACCTTCATGTTTCATGTGAATTACTTAGGTCAAGGACCCGTGAAGATTCGGGTTAGAATTGGTCTTCATCAACCCAGGCAACTATCGCGATCGGGTGGTCAGGCTCTCTGACCTGGTTAAAACATGTCATCGTGTCCCAGTTGGGTAGACTGATGCTGATGATGTTAATCACTGAATTGTCTTGTCCATTATTTTCACATGGGATTACAAACAAAAATGTTTCATGTCTCAAATTGAAAAAAATATGTGGATGAAAGGCAACCAAAGAACGCTTTCTTAATTCTACCTTCTGAAAGTCAAAACTTACCACAAGACAGAGAGTGTCCAGTAAATACATACCTCTTTACCCACGAGATACGCCATGCCCCGAGCAATGCCTAAGGCAAATGTCTGAATCTGCTCCAGAACTTCAAGATTCACTTTGTCCCGTCGAGAGGTCAGCCACTTGTCCAGCGGTCCATTTTCACAGTACTCCAACACCAACACCGGCCCCACTGAAGAAGAAAGTATATACATGTACCAGATCAGATATGGCAATGACCGGTTCTACAAGATCACAGAAGTAAGCAATATTCAATGCGTTAATTAACTTTACCATATTGGAGACGTGCGTGCTGGGACGAAAATACAGAAAATATTCTCAAAACATTTGTTTTCATGATATCGAAAAACTTAATCTTCTGGGTGAAAACAACGAGGGCAATTCTTATATTCCGTTGTTTCCTCTCAAAACATCCACGATTCTGATGCCTGACCTGGAGTGGCGTTGAAAAAACAACCGAAAAAGGCCCTCGGGGAAGCCAAAGTCATGATATTGGTAAGGAGGCCCAGGATCTTACTCAGTGTAATTCTTAAGCATCTCGGCACGTCCAACGTAAAGTTGGACATCAGGTGACGTACGAGATCAAGGAACAGCAGGAATCTGAGATCTGAACCAAAAACATTTGCGGGTCCTGATCCTAATCTGTTTTGACTGTACCTTTGACGAGGGACGAGTGACGAAAGTACATACAGATATGGTACCCTAAAATTCAAGAGTTTTTCAAGGTTTTCATCTTTGAGGTTTTAAGGCGTTCCTATTTACATTATAAGAACTAAAATGTGTGAACATCGCAATGTTTCCATTAAGACTCATTGTCACGACCAACGCATAAATAAGATAAATCTGTCAGAAAGTTTAATTCTATTACCAACAGTTATTGTATTGTATACTTACCGGTGTACACACGCATCATTATCAACGACTGCTCCGATGAATTTCAGCACGTTGCGATGTTCCCCGACCTTTGTGGCAGCGAAGTTGATCTTGGCCATCATCAGCAAACTACTTTCCTCGTCAGGCGTGCCTGCAAATAAATAACAATAATAATAATAACATCAAGTTAAGTTGAGGCTCTCTAAACAACCCCTGGGGAGTACTCGGTTTTGCTGCAAGGACTGACTGACTGACTGAGTTTGGTTTTACGCCGCTTTTAGCAATATTCCAGCAACATCGCGGCGGGGACGCCAGAAATGGGCTTCACACATTGTGGCCATGTGGGGATTCGAACCTGGTCTTCGGCGTGACGAGCCAACGCTTTAACCATTAGGCTACCCTCCGCCCTTTTTTGCTGCAAGGAACACAGCCTGATATGACGGCGGTCTGTCCAAATAATGGAGTCAGGGCCAGACAATCCAGTGATCAACAGCATGAGCATCGATCTGCGCAAATGGGAACAGATGACTTGTGTCAACCAAGTCAGCCAGCCTGACCACCCGATCCCGTTAGTCGCCAACAAGAATGGGATACTGAAGATAAACTCTAACGACCCGGGAGTGACACTCATATTGCAGCATGGGTAGTAGTGTTCGGGGTGTAAAGACGGCAAGATTGAGCTCATGATGGGCCAGTCCAGCCGTTACTTTAGTTACCAAAATCCGTTTTGATCAAAGTGTTTATAGCTCGTCACGCCGACGACCCGAGTTCGATTCCCACATGGGTATGGTATGCAAGAGAGCAGCCAGGAACCTGTAAGGACTTTTTGCCAACCTGTGTCTTTTGCCAGTCTTGTAAGAAGCCTTGAAAATTCGTGCAAATCTTCCAGTTTGAATCTCCTCCAGTAGTGACAGCTGATCTTTCGACATGTACCCTGGCTGGTTCGTCGTGAAGCTCATGCCGCCGTAGAGGTAGATGTCATCTTCGGGTGTGTACATCATGTTCTGGAATAAACAGTGCACACACTGGGTAAAAGAATGATATAATCTGGGAATGCTGCGCAGGCGTGAGCACTATTCCAGCTACATCCCGAAGCAAAGCATTACGATTCCATATAGACAGTGACTGAAAGCATGAGTGACTGAGTGGGTTTAGTTTTACGCCGCTTTTAGAAATATTCAAGCAATATCACGGCGGGGGACACCAGAAATGGGCTTCACACATTGAACGCTTTCACCATTAGACTACCCCTCCGCCCCATGAAACCATGAGCACCCGGAAGGGTCCACGCCCTCACTACGCAATCTCACGGCATCGCACAGTAAAACACCAACAGGAGCCAGATGAGATTACGAGTTGATGGATTCTGTGCCTGTGGGAGAGATTGGAATACAACATCGCTGTCTGCTGATGCACAGGACAAGTGAGTGAGTGAGTGGGTTTAGTTTTACGCCGCAATCAGCAATATCCCAGCTATATGGCGGCGGTCTGTAAATAATCGAGTCTGGACCAGACAATCCAGTGATCAACATCATTAGCATCGATCTGCGCAATTGGGAACCGATGACATGTGTCAACCAAGTCAGCGAAACTGACCACCCGATCCCGTTAATCGCCTCTTACGACAAGCATAGTCGCCTTTTATGGCAAGCACATGGGTTGCTGAAGACCTATTCTACCCCGGATCTTCACGGGTGCACAGGACAAGTAATACGCAGCACCATAATAAACAATACTGTTGCCTCCCTCCCTCATTCAATACAATAAAATGATCACAAGGAAATGTATCGACGGTTGCAGTCGTCATTTGGAAAGTGTTCTTGACATCCAGGACAGTGGGGGAGGATAATGGTTAAAGCATTCGCTCGTCACGGTGAATACCCCTTCGAGGGTACAATGTATGAAGCAACTTTTACTGTTGGTGTCCCCCCTCTGTGGTTCTGTGCAATGCTGTAAAAAGCGCGTAAAACCGCCCTCTCCATATATCCATAATATTCCTATGAAGCGATAACATATTTATCAGCTTGTTCCCGCATATACATGACATCATTACACTGTTGCACAGCATGCGTGATACCTACGTCGTAACACGCTGTGTTCTTGGGAGGGCGAATGTTATTGGTCGTCGTTCCTGTCACGAAAGCCTCAGGTTCACCATATCTCTTCTGGCGTCCTCTGATCAGTTTCTGCATTCTTCCAGTCCTCCACAAGAAGAATCCGACTCCAGCAACTGCCACCACTATCAGGATTACTAGGAAGAGACCAGAATTGATCATAATAAGGGTATAAGACATAGAAAATATATCGTTTTTTTGTTGTGTAAGTCCGCTCTGGGCTACATGGTCCATGCAGGAAGTACTGTAAATCCCCACGGTCCATACTAGGGGTGGGTATTGCACAGAATTTTCATATTGCAATATATTGCGATGCGAAAGCATGTATTGCGACATTATTGAAATATATTGCCTGAAGTATTTTTAAACAAAAAACTACTTCTATGCGAGTTAATGCTTGAATTATAGAGCAAAAACACAACAAAATCACTATGCTTGATTAAGCTTCAATACTTTTAACTTTTAATCATGATAAAATAAAAATGTGAAGAATATTTGGCACAAATGAAACAAGGAAATATCCGAAGATATTACGAAGTTTCCGAATGCAAGTCAAAATACCGGTTTTCAACCAGCGTATCGCAATACCCATCGTTTTCATGTCTGAACCGGTTAATACAAGTAAACCGGTTATATTGCGCAGCCCTAGTCCATAGTATGGTGATCTACCTTCAGATCAGAATTCAAATTGAAATCTAGTAGTTATTTTACTGTGCTGCGTTGACAGAGTTTTATAATTTACCTGTATTTATTATGAAGCTATAACTTGTTTTTAGTTACGATATGGCTGAAATATTGCCGATGTGACTTAAAATCTTAACTCACTCACTCACTAGGCTGTATGACGGCGATCGATAGATAACCGAGTCTGGACCAGACAATTCAGTCATTGACATCAATAACATATCGATCTTCGTTATTGGGATACCATTTCATGTGTCAACCAAGTCAGCGATCCTGACCACCCGATCCCGTTAGTCGCCTCTTACGATAAGCATGGGTTGCCTAAGACCAATTCTAATCCGGATCTTCACGGGCCTCTGATATTGATTATATTTGGCTCATACTTGCCTCTTACTGTTCATACTAACATGTTTATTTGATCTTGTAGCCTGTAAAAAATGGACATCTATGTGAGTGTCGATAACTTGCCTGAAAATTTCAACTTTAGCACTGGACCAAAATGGGAATCGAACCTTTGTTTTGATCAATAACTTTAATGTCAGGCGTCTAACCATCCATCCAAAATTCAAACATAATCGCATAATCTTTCAATAATACTGATGCATGAAAATTAATGATCATGTATTGACCACAAGCATATTGATTTTAAAGTAAATTTAACTTTTCAAAACAATTATATTTTGATGTAATGCTAATCGGGGTTAATTAGATAGAAAGTCTGAAACAACAGACATCTACCTGTGCGTATTGGACTACAGTATTAGACAGAATGTGAATTAAAAATTATAAAGCATGTTTGAATCCAATCTTATATCAATATTTACAAGGCAATCTTCAACTAAACAATAATGCAGTTGTAATTTTTGGCCTTCTGACAAACTGTAAACGCGAAATAAGAACACGCAGTTTGCAGATGTGTAGGTACATGCATATAAGACGAAAGTCAACTAAACAATAATGCAGTTGTAATTTTTGGCCTTCTGACAAACTGTAAACGCGAAATAAGAACACGCAGTTTGCAGATGTGTAGGTACATGCATATAAGACGAAAGTCAACTAAACAATAATGCAGTTGTAATTGTTGATGTAAACCGAAATTCACGCATATGCAACCATATAAGCGAATGTAAACAATGCATCACAAGACAAAACAGTGATTGATATTATAAGACGTCGCAGTTGTTGGCCTTCTGGTAAACGCAGGCCATAACCAGATCACATATAAGACAGGCTCTGATCGGCTGATACACAATAATGCATAGACGCAGTTTGCAGATGTGTAACAACATTAAATTGTTGATAAAAACATTCAGCATATCTGAAATGACAAAACAGTGATTGATATTATAAGCATCTCACGCCATAACCAGATCACCAGCTCTGATCTGATACACAGATAGAAACAACTAGTCTCTGAAATGAACATATTTTACTGAAAAAAAGTTCATAGTAAAACAAAAATAATATATAATGAAAAGGAGCCCTAGACTCTGAAGCTGAGGAAATCTAGACTTGCCACATTTTCTAGACTTGCGTGGGCTTTCTTGGATATATTTGCTTTAGGGTCTGTACGACAAACTAATAGATAGATAGATAGATAGAGTGAGTGAGTGAGTGAGTGAGTGAGTGAGTGAGTGAGTGAGTGAGTGAGTGAGTGAGTGAGTGAGTGAGTGAGTGAGTGAGTGAGTGAGTGAGTGAGTGAGTGAGTGAGTGAGTGAGTGAGTGAGTGAGTGAGTGAGTGAGTGAGTGAGTGAGTGAAGATTTAAAGTCACGTCGGCAACATTTCAGCCATATCGTGACTAAAAACAAGTAATAATTTTAGAATACATAAAGGAAAATGTGTTAAAAATACCTGTCAACGAAGAACAGTAAAACCAACTAGAATATCACAGATATGAATATAAATATAGTATGTAACCCTAAAATAGCCTAATTACAGAAGACAATACAATATAAAAACGGGCTACATATTGCCAACAACTGAAGGTAGATCACCGCACTAGGGACTGATACATAGAGAATCTCACCCAAGTGTCTACTGGTATCAATTATACCAACACTGGTTGATAAAGTTACATATATCCGAGGTTTGCATGGCAACATGGGCCTGTAAACAAGACAAGCCAGTGAGTGATATTATAAGCAACAGCCGGCGGCGTTGGCCATCAACCTGGCCACCAGGCCCCGACCAGCCGACACATCTACAGGAATGCCTGTTGGTAGGACCATGTATACACACGAGCGTATGTGACCAACAAGAAACACCTGTCTACTCACCTATGACGATTCCAGCTACAGCCCCCGCGCCAAGAGTTTCAGTAGCCCTGTCGTCCGCCGCTGAAAGTCGTGCATAAATCAAAGCAATTACTTTGAATCGAGGTCTTTCGTTCCTAAAGCGTCAATGAAAACTTAACTCGTTGGAGACTTTTGCACAACATCTTTGCTCGTCTGAACTCTCCGTTTCTGAACATGTGATCGTCATCGTGTCACATTTGTGAGTGAGTGAGTTTGGTTTTACGCTACTTTTAGCAACATTCCAGCAATATCACGGCGGGGGACACCGGGAATGGGTTTCTCACATTGTACCCATGTGGGGAATCGAACCCTGGTCTTCGGTGTGACGAGCGAACGCTTTAACCACTAGGCTACCCCACCGCCCCTGTCACATGACACATCCCATGATGTATAAAGTAACCTCCAAAATCAAAGAGAACATTTAATGCTATTAAAAAACACGAGCTATAAACTACCAGCAACTTAAGCTAGGCAACCATATTGTGATTTACCATAAAATACCGTTGACATACCGTCGTTTAAGTTACTCTTTGAGTGTTTATGAATGTATTCGTACGTCAAAACTTCAGATAATTCTGAGAATGTACTCAAACTGAATCCCAAAAATATACCCGTGTGTACTTACATGTACATCGGCAGTATTTCAGTCATATCGTGACTAAAAACCTAAAAAATTCATGATAAATGCATCAAACTATAAAATCCTGTCTACGAAGGAGAGTAAAATAACCAGATTATCACAGATACAGAATTTCAAACTAAATTACTCACGGAAATAGAAACATAATGTTTTTTTTGGCGTTTATTTGTTTATTACTTCATTAAAATAGTTGGATTTAACAAATATTATTTAACTATGTTTTTCCAAACCAGGCTTTTTAATTTGATCCTCCAATCATTATACATATTATAACTTACGTCACAATCAACAACGGGCGGTAACAACTACCTGCAGCCCTGTTTTAGACGGGAAGATGCATTTGCAAGTGCGTTGCCATAGCGATTGCGCAAATGACAAACAAAGCTATGAATGAACTCGTAAAAGTAGTAACTTTCAACAAGAGTACAAGCATGGAAAATGTACTGAGGAAATCCCCAAATCCATTATTTTGTATATCCATTAGGATAAAAGAAATAAAGGTTGAATGGTATATGACGTTTTTCATAAAATATATTATGTACGCGAACCTATGGAAAATACATCTCATTTGTATACTATAGCTTGCATTAGAAACGTACATATTGACTGATGAAATTTCAAAGAGTGAAAATGACACGATTTGCTCTCCTGTGAAATCATCAATATCGGATGATTTTACAAAAAGTGTTAAAAACAAAAGTTGGGAAACACGATAGTCATAGAATATTTAACAATCAAACTTTACTTGTGTTTTAAACACTACGAAATAAAGCTGATGTAGTTCATAATCATGTTCAATCCCTAGAGCTGATTTGTCCTGATGCTTCAAATCATGATGATTCATACTTGGAGATTTTAATGGATGTACCCTGAAGTCTGTGCTACCCACCTACAATCAGTATGTAACATGTTGTAAACGGAAAGACAAGATCCTTGACTTGTATTATGGTAACATCAAGAACGCCTACAAATCATATAGTAAACCAGTATGGAGCTTCGGACCATAATTCTGTGTATTTGCTGCCCACATATCGTCCAAAGTTAAAAACAGAGAAGGCTATTGTTAAGACATGTCAAATCATGGAACAGAGAACCTATTGAAACCCTACAAGGATGTTTTGCGTGTACGGATTGGGACATGTTCTATGATGCAGAACAAACATTAGAAGGAATGTGTGACGTCATTACGGATTATATAAATTTTTGTGTCAACAACATAGTTCCTGAAAAAGAAATCAGAATTTTCCCAAACAACAAGCCCTGGATCACAAAAGAAATGAAATCTTTATAAATTAAACGAAAAGAAACGAGCATACATGAAGAAAGATAGAATAAAACTCAAATGCATACAGAAGGACATCAATCTTAAAGCTCGTGAGTGTTTAAACTAGCGTACAAAGAGAAAGTTGAGAGACAGTTTCAGCAAAGCAATCTGCAACAAGCCTGGCAAGGTGTGAACGCGATGATTGGCAAGAGCAGGCGACGACAGAGGAAGAGTAGAAGAAGAAATATAGTTTATTAATGTGTCACATGCTGCAGAACATTAAAAAAAATACGGTACATTATTGCAAGAATTTAAAAGCAGCGTCCGGCCATAAGGCCTATGAGACACAAATGTCACAGTTGTATAAAACATTAGTAATAAAATCACACCCACACATACACACACGCAGGCCGAACCGTATGCACAAACACAAAACGCATACACCTTCACACACCCACACGCACGCACGCACGCACACACACGGTACACACACCAACACACACACACACACAAGCGCACGAGCCTACAGACAGACACCTACGACAGACAGACAGACAGACAGACAGACAGACAGACAGACAGACACACACACACACACACACACTTACACTTTCTTACCTAAAATGCATAAATTACATAAATAGCAAACATGTTGAACTTATTATCAAAGTACATTGTAGAGTTAACTATTCTACAGAAATATTCCGGCGCCTAAACATAGTATAGATGAGTGCGGCAAGGGGCTATACGAACTGGTTATTTGTAAGTAAGAATACCATTTTATCTACTGCTGACATAGATGGGAATGTAGGATGGACACTGGTTATTTCCTTCCAAAGATTATATCTGAGATCTGAATAATAATCACAGTTAACAAGAAAATGAATTCATCTACAACGGCATTGCTACTACAGCGAGTACACGCCCTTTCATGAAGGGGAGACTTCGGACGAGAATATCTACCCAATTCTACCTCTAATGGTAAAGTGCCACAACGGAATTTGCTCAAGATACTACGATGTGACCTAGGTAGAATTGTTTCAACATAATGTTCAACTTGTAAAAAATCTTTAAAAGACGATAAGTACGTAATTTATTTCCATTGTCCTGCCCTTTATCATTCCAAAGCCCAGAAAACCAATCAAAACTGTCTAGCGCCTTAAGGTGTTCTTAAGCAACAACAAACTCCTCATGTGAAATACTAAACAGATCACTTATAGGTAAATGAAAACTAACTAATAATGTATGAGCTCCAATATACCAAGATCTCCTCCAATTAAATGACCATCTGCTAATAACGCTGTGGTTGCTAAATTCAAGTAACTGAAGTTTACGCCAAAGACGAAGAACCTCAATTTTTTGTTTGGTATACTGAGAAACCCAGCTCATTTCGCCATGAACTGCTAAATTGGGAGTTTTTCTAGCGACGGCTAAGAAGAATCTGGCTCCCCGATGTTGAACTGCATTGATACAGCTATACTGCCGTGTTCCCCAAATGACGGTAGATGTGTACTTACATTTCGCGACGACATTCACGTTGTCTTCACTGCGTTGTGCCCCGTAGCCCGCTGACACCATAACCTTGTATTTTTTGTCGGGGTCAAGGCCAGTGAGGTCATATGATGTGTCATCTTTGGGCACGGAGACCTCATGGACTGGCCCTGAATCCGACTGGTAGCTGACCAGTATAACTGTGCGTTCGTGGCAAGCAGGGGCGTGGTCCCACATAACACGGATAGATGTTGAAGACAATCGTTTGGTTCTCAGGTTTGAGGGTGGTAGGTCTGTTGAAAGATCAAATCATTTCTGAAACAGCTTTACTGTTGGTCCGTAAGATAGGTTTTGCCTCTTTTTGCAAAACAGATTTATTACGGTACTTCAAGTCAGTCTACATCAAATTTGGAGGGACGTAAAGACGGGGTAGTATCAGCATTTGTTGATTACTTACAGGTCGTGGTGCCGTTTAGTTCCAACAGCTTCGTTACCTATGAACAGAAATGGTCAAAATGAACACACCAGTGCAGTTTGGAATATGCGCCATCAGTGGCTCTTATGATGCATTGTGTATTTCATCCAACAGCTACGTTACCTATGAACAGAAATTGTCAGAATGAACACACCAGTGTAGTTTGGAATACGCGCCATCAGTGGCTCTTATGAGTTATGTCCCTTGTATGTCTCTCCAATTAATTTCACCTTACCTGCATTTGCTTCAAACAAAGAATCCGGCCGATAATCAAGATTTATATTGACTGTAATAAAACAGGTCTTATAGTTACTTTGCAAAGTGTATGAAATTACTAAAGTGCCCTGATTAAAAACACAAACAGATTTGCAAAACATCTGTCGGCGCCCATTGGACAGTTCACATGTTTTGCAAAATCTCAATCGATTGAAATCTGCACGGTATTTCATGAACCGGATGTCGATTTCTTTACGCAATTTTGATTGGACAATGCATAGACTCGTCAATCAGGCCAATACAAGTCAACTCCGTCTTGTATGGGAACTGGACTTTTAAAGTCAGTTACGTACCTTTTCTCGAGACTTTCACAGTCAATTACGTCACTTCTCTCGAGACTTTCTACAGTCAGTTACGTCACTTCTCTCGAGACTTTTAAAGTCAGTAACGTCCCTTCTTTCAAGACTTTTATAGTCAGTTACGTCCCTTCTCTCACGAAGATGCTATGGAAATAAGGTATCGCTGACTGACGTATAGATAACACCCGTGCAATCTCTCGAAGAAGGCAAATTTCCGGTAATCTTCTATGGATACTCACCACCTGTTCCTCGTGCGTGGAGGTCTTCAGCCCCGCCCTGTTGACAACGCGCACCTGCAGCCGAACCTGGGCAGTCGCTAGGGCGTTCTTGGCCACCATCAGCCAGCAGTTGCTGATGTAGACTTTGTTGATCCGTTTGTAACACACGTTCAGGGCGTTGGGGCAGTAGCAGTCGTGTACCCTGTCTGTGCAGTAAAGCGGCTGAAATAATTACATCATGTTTTATTCAATCACGTATATCCCCATGCATATCAGACTAAGGAATGAAGATCAGGGTTACCATGCTTGTCGTATGAGGCATCAGCTTGTCGTAAGAACGATCAGGTGGTCAGTTTCGCTGATCATGACTTTATAGATACATATCATCGCATTCCTATTGCGTAGATCGATGTTGATGATGTCAGTCACTGGATTATCTGGTCCCGACTCGATTACTTTAATACGCCGTCATATAGCTGGAATATTGCTGCGCGTGCTGTTCCTTAGGGAAATGCCAGATGCTCCAGTCATGACAGAATTCTATAGAATGATTTATGATACTTAATAAAGATGCCTGAGTCGAATTGGTTCAAAACTCATGAACACTACAGTGAGTGAGTGAGTGAGTTAGTTTAGTTTTACGCTGCTTTTAGCAATATTCCAGCAATATCACGGCGTTGTACACCAGAAATGGGCCACGTGGGGAATCAAATACGGGTCTTGGGCGTGACGAGCGAACGCTTTAACCACTAGGCTACCATACCGCCCCGCATGAACACTATATGTAACGGATCGGGTGGTCAGGTTCGCTGACCTGGCTGAACATATGTCATCATTTCCTAAGTGCTCATGACGTTGATTTACAGATCGTCGCCATAGAGGCTGGATTATTGTTGACTGCGGCGTATTTCAACAAACTATGTCATGTCACTGTAAATGATATTTTCATCTTGGAAAGCAACTGTTCATAAAATCACCATGGCATTGGCTTTTAAGCACTTTGGCCGATAACACAAAACATATGACTCACGTGGATAGATGGAATGGATACATTGTTTGTTCTCAGAAGGCTGCCATCTTCTTTACTGAAGACCTTGACCTCAAGATAGTCGAGTCCACTCTCTGCATCTTGTGCGGTCACCCTTAAACTACGAATAGAGAACGTTATATATAAAAGGTGAGGTGAGGTGAATTTGGGTTTAACGTCGTGCTTGAGAATATTTCGCTCATATGACGACGTGCATGCGTGTGTATGTGTATGTGCGGCTGCTTGTACTAGCCCAGACTTAAGCTGGTTTTATAGTGCTAGCCCACTGAGATACCATGCCGCAGTGAAGCATGAATACCCCACTCAGACACATTATACTTACTCTGAGCCGACCAGTCCTTGTTGTACCCATTAATGCCGAGCGCCAGGCAGGGACCAACAAGTACCATATTTTAACGTCTTTTGGTATGACGCGGCCGGGGATCGAACCCGCGACCTTCCGCTCTCTGGGCGGACGCTATAACCACTAGACCACGGAGGCGGTCTATATATAAAAGACAGTCTTTAAAGGTATGACTGGAAAGTCGAAAGATATATATGTTACCATGTACTTAAATTGTAAAAATCACTGCTGATACTTCAGCAACATAACGTTGTTAATATACCACACCTTTGGTTTGTTGTTTTGTTTGTTGTTTTGTTTGTTTGTTTGTTGTTTCCCGTTAGATTTTGTAGATCGTTCCATGTGTGAAACAGACGTTTTTCGGTGCACTGATACAAATTAACTGATAAACATAAGTTAATTTCAGGACGAAGAACACGGGCCAATAAACAGGAAATCAATTTAGAATTTTGCAAAAAAACAACAATGAGTAATTAGAGATAGAAATATTATAATAGTTGTAAACAGAAAGTCCTATTATCTTTGATATTGTAACACGAAATGAAGCTCATAACACGAAAAATATATAAAGGAACCAATACATTCTGAATGAAAATGTGAAAAATACTTTTCTTTTAAAAATCTGAACATGCGAACTTAACATAGATCTTAGATTCTACAATAGTTCTGCAAAAAGGGTCACTCTGCAGTCAGGCCAAGTTACAATCTCTTTTTCTTACCCGGAACTGAAGGGAATGTTGGATTTTTCATTTTGTGGAATGCCATCAAAGTGAACTGTGGTTCGGTGAAGTCGTAGGTTACACTTGTCGAGTCGACTTTCCTGTTGCCAAGGATGTCCCAGGCTCTTACCCACACAGTAACGGTGGTTCCGCTTGTCACACCAGCTGAAGGACAAAGACTCGTATGGTATTGATAACGCAAACACGTCCAGTATATGCATAATTTGTAAAGAAATGTCCTGCTGAACCGACCCGTGAAGATCCGGGGTAGAATAGGTCTTCAGCAACCAATGCTTGCAACAAAAGGCGACTATGCTTGTCGGAAGAGGCGACTAACGGGATCGGGTGGTCAGGCTCGCTGACTTGGTTGACACATGTTATCGGTTCCCAATTGCGCAGATCAATACCTCGTGCTGTTGATCACTGAATTGTCTGGTCCAGACTCGATTATTTACAGACCGCCGCCATATAGCTGCAATATTGCTGGAGTGTGGCGTAAAACTTAACTCACTCACTCCTCCTGCTGAACCATATCATTTTATCAAATACACATACATTAACTTTTTGTCTTATTTGTGTCATGAAATCCGTAAAAGAACAGTTTTGTTCTGTTTAATGAATTGTGCTGGTTATTTCCAGAGGTTATCTGTCCACAAACACTGGACAATGCCAACACGAATAACTTATGACCCCCTCACATGCCCGAGTACCTTCAGATGCACACTATGAATTTAAACGAAAACGGGTCTTTTGCGTCACACATTTGACCAGACGCAAAAGTTTAAATATCTTTGTCCGACTTTACGAAAACACTACTAACCAACTGTTGTTTGGTTTGTTGTGTTCAGACCGGAGATCTCATTCCAATCTACTGGTGTGTGAAGCGCTCTGCCTCCACTCTTGTTGACGGCATGCGTCCACTCAAACCTCACAATGCCCCGTACATTGGGGATAGCATCTCTGGTTCTTCTTCCATAATGATCATCATTTGTATGAGGTACTTCCTTGTAGATTGGTGGGTCTTCTACAACCTTCACACGGAAGGGGAGGATGCTGTTCAGGAATTTACCACTTTCATGGACGTAGTTCAGAAAATGATCTTGCCAGTTGGTGACTAGTGGCGTGGAGGCATCGGTCATCCACTGGAAGCCATGGTCTTGCACTGCTGATGATATGTACAGGGCATGGTCTGGATCAGTCGTAACAGATGACTCCTTGTCGTATAGAGCAAACCTTCTCATGTATACAGAGTTATTGGCCTTGTCGGCTGCTTCAAGGACGAAGGAATACATCCCTGGTCTGTCTGGGGCATAGGGAAGAGGATAGGAAATTGGATCGGTGTGGTCAACTTGTCTGTGAACAACAGGTCTCAACTTGTCAACTTCCATCAAGCTTCCGTCCGGACTGGGTTCAAGTTTGAAGGCTTCCCATGTGTACTTGTCCAATCCAGATTGTAAATCTCTCCAACCATCCCATTTTATGTTGATTGGTTGCTATTTAGGACAACAAAGAAACGAATGCAACTCATCCATCATCTAAAAATATACCGTGAATCTAAACTCTTAGAGATATGCTGATCCAAAGTTTCACAAATGTAGAACATTTCTTGAAAGCTAATTCACATCGCGTAGACAACATTTTCAGTGAAATCAGTATGTAAATATCAGAATATTTTGTAAATATTTTGTAAATATCAGAATATACTGTGGAACGTATCGACATATTGTTGTTGAAGGACACTCTGTAACTTTCACGAGACACGGAGAATTCTATGTAAAACAGAATTTCGACTGCTCTTGCAAAACATAATATATGTCATAACATGCACAGGCTGTAATGAACAGTATATTGGTCAATCAGAAAATTTAAGAGCCCGGGTTCGTGTCCACAAACAACAAATAAAGTGTTCTGAAACCCGAGGTATCCCACTAAGTGAACATCTAGATGTCTGTGCGAAAGGAAACGATGTTAAATTTACAATATTTCCTTTTTATCAAGTTCAAAATTCGGACAAAGTAAAACGAAATTTCAAAGAACACTACTTCATAGACAAGTTCAAACCAATGTTCAACCATTGCAAGCTGTGATCTTGTCGCTCTAGAATGTTGTCCCTATTGTGACGTCACAATATATATGTAATGACGTCATACTGTAACCGCTATAATCTCCTGAAGAGTAAAGAACGAAACATGTTGGAGAAAAAGGCCTTCTGTTTTATTTATCTATGTAATATATATATATATATATATAACTCTGTAGTTATGCATGCAATGAAAACTGTTTCATATTGTAAAATGGTTAGAAAACAAACGACATTTTGATAACAAAGGGAATGAACGAGTTCTCATGTAAGGCTCTTGATGGAGATGAACATTATTACTCAAACAAGACACCTTTAGAACATCTGATTATTTCATATCACTATAATCAGTCACTGCATGCAAGGGTGCGGTGGGGGTAGCCTCGTGGTTCAAGCGTTGGTTTGTCACCTCGAATACCCGGGTTCGATTCCCCACATAGGTACAATATGTGAAATCCCAATTCTGGTGTCCCCTGCCGTGATATTGCTGGAATATTGTTAAAAGTGGCGTAAAACTAAACTCACTCACTCACTCATTGCATGCAGGATTAACTGTTAACTGGCTAAGGATATATTATAGTATTACTTACTTTTGTGAATTCTGGGTGAACCTGAAAGGCATCATTTGGGTCGTTGTTCACAGGTTTAATCATGTCAAGGTGGAAAGATACAGTGCTGGTAGCCTGAGTGCCGGTATAGTGCTGCGTGGCTGCAGTTCTTGATCCGGTCAGTCTTCGATAGCCACCACTTGAAACGTGGAAGGTCAACTTTAACCTGAACAGAAACAGTTTGTCTTCGATCATAAATGGGAATAAACATGTATATGACGATTACCATGAAAGTGATATGGTGGATATATAAAATGAACCACAAAAGAAACGTCGCTTTTCAAAACCAAATGCAAGATTTTGTTCACACAAAATGGTGTTTTATATTATGATTGCATCGTTTTATTAACATGTTTTCAATCAAAATTGACAGTTATTACCAACATCAGTGTGTTTTCGGATGAAAAAGCATATCGAAAAACGCACCTAAAATGGCAGACGTGGTAAAAGGTTCCGTATGACATTCGTGAAAATGAAAATGCACGTGCATATAGTGACAATCCTACTAATGAAAGTGAGTCCTAAACTCGCCTGAAATCATTTTTTGTTTTGACACAAGTCTTGGGACGATTGCAAGTTGGCCAGACTGCACGGAGGGTAGCCAATCATTTTAATGTTCATGGATAATGTTCAGTCTGCCGACAGCAGGAGCGGTCTCAGGTCACTAAACAGCATCCAAGACCGTCCACGCAGTGGGCGATCTTCAGTAACATCACAACGTCAAGGCCGACACCATCTGCAGGATCGCTTCCCCAGAGCGACGGAAACAGCACGCCAGACCATTGGGACCCACAACAGACCCATCAATGCCGATACAGTGCATCGACGTTTGCGCGGGAGAAACCTCTGCTGTCACAGACCATATCGTAGTCCTGTCCTCACCGCTAATCATCACCAAAACCGACTGCAATGGGCAACTCAGCATCGAAATTAGCGTTATCGACAATGGAGAACTGTGCTTTTATCTCATGAAAGCCGATACTGTGTTTCGACGGTCGATGGCAGAGTGAGAGTATGGTGAAGGCGTGGGGAACTGTTTTCCAATAGAGTATTGTTGAAAGAGACTGATGGGGTGGTCCAAGCATCATGGTGTGGGGCGCAATCGGTCTGAGCCAGATAGTTAGCACCATGGTGTTCAAGAATCTCGGTCAAGGATGAAAATGACGTGACAGCTGCTCGCTATATTGACCAAGTCATTAAGACCCCCACGTTGTACCACATTTTGGACATTACAGATTACAGAAATCACATCTTCCAGCAAGACAAAGCTCGTTCCCACACTGCCAGAGTAACATTGGACTTCCTAAGACAACATGGCATCCAAACCCCACAATAGCCTGCACTCAGTCTTGATTTGAATCCAATAGAACACCTTTGTACAAACGATGCAACGCTTTCATCGATGCGCATAGAGACCACACACAATACTGACTTTTGGGTATCTTAATGGTACCATTTTTGGTCATTTTGTTTGTGTGAACTCTAAATGTGATTCCCGAAATGTGTTAACCATAATTGTCAAGTTTGAGCTCAATCCTCCGTTTTGTTGTTAATTTGAGTGAGTTAAAGTGTGTGCTTTAAGAAACCGGTATCAGTGCGACATTTTTTCTGTGGTTCAGTATATATGTAGTATTAGTAAAATTTAAATATTTTCTATATTTGCATACTTATCCTGCAATTCCTACGTTCTGTATTTATTGTTTACGACTCGAAACGAAGAAATGCGATCAGTTCCTGGACCCGTTCCCGAAAGCGATCGTAGCTCTGCGACAGTCGTAAGCGTATGTTAAAGTATGGGAGTTACGATCATCTTAGCGCTACGATCGTTTGGAGGAACTGGACCCTGGTCTCGAACGATCATTCGTCTGCACACGCGTCGCTGATTATTGCTTTTCGCACGCCTCGTCCTCGTAAGACATGTGGTTTGCCCGATTGATTGTATCCTGTGGGTTTGTGTTTATTCAAAAATTTTGTGGTTGTTTTCCTTTGTCCTACGGAAAATGTACGTATTACCCTTCTCTTTCGTTTTGACAAATAGTACTGCTGTGATGGTGTGTGCTGATGTGTGGAGAGGGGCGGTGGGGTAGCCTAGTGGTTAAAGCGTTGGCTCGTCACGCCGAAGGCCAGGTTCGATTCCTACATGGGCACAATGTGTTAAGCCCATTTCTGGTGTCCCCGCCGTGATATTGCTGGAATATTGCTAAAAGCGGCGTAAAACTAAACTCAGTCAGTCAGTCAGTGATGTGTGGAGATATGTGTCGACAGGGAACTGGCTCCAATTAAGACGGAGTGTACGTTGACGAAGACGAAGGAAGACGTTGAGTTCAAACTTCTTTAGTTGACTATAAAATACATGATGAACAAACTCAGCAGCTCACCATCCCCTAAAGAAAGTGACCTTCTGCTTTGTCTTTCTTCCCACGAAACACAAACACGACGACGTCAGGAAAAGAGTTGTTCCAGAAAAAAGGAAGATAAACTCTAGTTCACGCTTTTAACTGCATTTCCCTAAAGCTACCAATGCTTCAAAATCCAGTGGTCTTTTCCCATTTAAGTCTGTATGTCTTTACCCGTGAAGGTCCGCGTTATATTGATCTTCAGTAACCCATGCTTGTCGTAAGTGGCGACTAACGGGATCGGGTGGTATGGCTGACTGGAATATTGCTGAGCACGGCGTAAAACTAAACTCACTCACTCTATATGCTTATATGCGAATTACTACTGATTGATCGTCGCTCGCTGTCAGCTTTTATTTCATGGAGAACAGCGCCTTTCCACCAGCGCCGCGCACTGGAGGACACTGACTGAGCTGGGTTTGATAAAAAAGGACGAGCTTTATGGATGAACATCTTTATTCAGGTCATGTGATGTTTTGATTCAGATTCTTGTATCGTTGTCAAGCAGACATGAATAGGGTGGAAAACCGGGTTATATATGCAGTACATAATTAACAAAAACGATAAGAAGACAATTGAGAAGTGCAGTAATAATACGATGGCAAGGGATTACATCTAGTGCCAAGCCAGTGGGTTGTACAGAGCAGGAAAAGCTATGCCTTATTGCCAACCTCGACCCTGAGTTATTCTCCTCATTACGAACTGCTGGGATCAGACAAGAAACTCGACGCATCTACTAAGACATTGTGTAAGTGGTCCAAGACCATGCTGAGATTCCAAGTGGGTGGTCGAAACTTCGAAATTTCAATGACAAAACATTATTCACTTTAAATAAATCTCAAAGTGAAGAATTTGTGTAATCTTCCTGCCATACCACTGGTTGGATTTTAGAATGAATAGGTTGAAAATATTTGAAAAACCCAAGAAACGTGAGACTATAATATCTCTATCAAATTGAAAATGGAAGCACAATGTTTTAAGATCAAAGTTGATCACCTGTATATCAATATATGGTTGTGCAACTCTTAATACATAGTAAAGGGATATATAAATGAAATAAACTTGAAAAAAGCCTCACACAAGTAGATCAAAATAGGCAAACTTTATGGATAATAACTTCTTCTTTATTACGAGTGCCACGTTTCGATACAGATTCTTGTACTGTTGTCAAGCAGTCATTCCTACTTGACAACGGTACAAGAATCTGTATCAAAACATCGCACGAAACGTGATGAATCTACGCAAACCGATCTGGTTAAATCGCCTCTTACGACAAGCATGGCTTACTGTAGATCATCCCTACGAGAATCTTCTCAGGTCGGGTAACTGATGATAACAATCGATAGGGGACGACTCTTCTTGGAGGTTAGGGAAAGGGGCGAGTGTTGACGAATGCTCAACATAACGTCATGACTTTTGACAAGAAACAAATATTGTCAACACGTTGCAAAATAGACATGTTGAGGGTATTGTTCAAGGAATGGGATGAAACCGACAACTTTGTCTGAGACCGCACTTCCGTATGCCTGAGAAGAGATTACATTGATGAATTTCATCGATTTCATATACCCTTCATCTTTCATCTCTACTGAATAGATCACTGGATTGTCTGGTCCAGACTCGATTATTTGCAGACCGCCGCCATGAGGCTGGACTATTGTTGAGTGCGGCCTAAAACTAAACTCAGTTACTCTCTACTGAATATTCCCTGAAGATCCGTTAGATGTCTTCAGCAACCCATGCTTGTTGTAAGAAGCGATCGGGTGGTCAGACTCGCTGACTTGGTTGACACTAGTGGCGCTCCGATTAATTGAAATAATCGAAGATTGGTCGTAGTGACTAAACGACCAAGCAATCGATCACAATTTCTCATAATCGAACACAAACAATTCTGGAACACTTGTTTTCATTAACAATATTTTTCACATGGTTGGTTTTGTCTGTTACATTTCGTAAGCACTACAAGCTCGTTTCCAAGTCATGATTGAATTTATCTTAAAGATTCCAAGAAATTTATGTTCCTAACATACTAGTCATCCTTTAAAGATGTGAAATTTTGCCAAAAGAACTACTTGTTTTTTTCCTTATTTTTATGTGCATTAACAAATTTCATAAATGACGCTAACCAATTTTTTTCGATGATTGATCGGTAGTAATGAACCAATCATCAATTATGAGATTTTAACCAATTCCCAACACTAGTTGACACATGTCATCGCATTCCAAATGTGTAGATCGATGCCAATGATGATGATCACTGGATTGTCTGGTCCATATAGCCGCCATATAGCTGGTATATTGCCGCACGGCGTTAAACAACAACCGAACCAAACCAAACTCTACTGAATAACGATACTACAGACAGTGAGAGATACCTCTAGATTAGTTTAAGGGACCTACCTCTCGCCCTCATTCAAACGGGAGATATCATTTTTCGTAAAAGAGCATTGGACCATCTCCTTCGGATTCTCGGGGTCAACGGCTTCATCACATGGAAACTCGTCGTCTTCAGATCCTAAAGTAGGTCCACCTAAACGTTGAGAAACGAAGATTGACTGTAGGGAAAAACGTCTAATAATAATTTAATCAATTAAATTGAATTGCATTTAACAACGCTGAATATATTTTATACTTTCGTTTTATTGTCATCGATTCAGTACGCCATATAACCACCTTTCCTATTGTGTAGAAATAACTCTTTCATTCCACGTGCGTTTAAGACAGGATTACGTACCAATTTAATTGAACATTATTTTCATTAGAAAAATCATGTGTCTCATATCTGTACATATCTAGACTGGTTATTTTGTTATTTTGTGGCGTTGACGTTGAATATTTACGATAATAATAAGTATGATACCCACAGAGTGTTGATGGTTAAACAGTTCAGTTGTCACGGCGATTTCAATTCCCCAAGTAGCCAATTTCAAGTCTAGTGCAGTAATGTTAGTGGAGTGCTGCTAGATGCGTACTAAAATCACCGGAAATGACACGACATTAGAAACCTGCTCCTTTCGCGACAAACCAAGCAACCCATTCTGTGTAACAAATTGTGTATGGAATTACTAACTCAGCTTGAAATAGGCTCTGGCAATCCCCGTCTTGGCATCACTGATGTAGGAAGGGGGATATGGTAGATCTTGGCCTTTAAACAAAGCCCCAGCAGTCACGTTCAGCTTGTTGAGTTGTTGGCGGTTTGTCCACACTTCGACCTCCTCTGTCTTGTCCGTGGCATCCGCTATAAATCCGAAGATCTCTCTCTTTGTATCACCGTCATATCCCCAGTAGGAAAACTGTGCCATCATCTGTGTGACCTCCGGCGTTTGGTTATCATCCACTGTTAAGTCAAATGGGATAAATTAAACATTAATGTCCTAATGTATTATTGAATGGTTGGTTTGTTGTTTACACCGCACTCCGTAATAATCCTGCTTATTTATATGGCAGATGTTTGTAAATTATCGAGCCTGGGTGAGACAATCCTGTGATCAACAGCATGAGCATCCATTTACACAATGAGGATACGACCACCCAGTCCCTTTAGTCGCCACTTACGACAAGCATGGGTTACTGAAGACCAATTCTAAACCGGATCTTCACTGGTCACCTTATGTTTTACTAGTTTGGTAATTAACACTATGTCCTAAGATGTAAATTTCCCACATGGGTACAATATGTGAAGCCCATTTCTGGTGTCCCCCGCCGTGATATTACTGGAATATTGCTAAAAGCGGCGTAAAACAAACTCACTCACTTTAAGGTGAACTGAGGTGAAATGGGGTTTAACGTCGTACTTAAGATTATTTCGCTCATATGATGACGTGCATGCGTGTGTATGTGTGGTTGCTTGTACTAGCCCAGACTTAAGCTAGTTTTATAGAGATAGCTCACTGAGATACCATGCTGCAGTTAAGTATGAATACCCACCCAGATACATTACACTGACTCCGAGCCGACAAGTCCTTGTTATACCCATTAATGCAGAGCGCTAGACAGGAACCAACAAGTACCATATTTTAACGACTTTTGGTATGACGCGGTCGGGGATCGAACCCGCGACCTTCCGCTCTCCGGGCGGACGTTCTCACACTACACCACACGGAGGCGGACTCTCTCTGAGGTGTAAATCATGGAAGAGAAAATGATTGCAATTGCTTCCCTTTAGATCGAGTAAAACTGACAAAGACACTTTGTCCTATAATTGCAAATGCGCAAATTCAGTTAAAGCAAAGAATACAACTCAATTTCAACATCATTTCTGCTAAGAGTTGAGCCCATTATGACATTCCGACCATATGAAATGATTCTTAGTAGTATGTGATTTTAAATGTGACTACAGAATGGTAATGATACGAGGCGTTCACATATGCGTGTCCTGCCGCACCTGTAACGTCACCGGTCATAAACACATGCAAAGGCAAATCAATCGTTCAAGAAAACAAACACGAGACCATTTGGTACAAGTCAAAATATCAAATTATCAGTCAAATATCACGGGTACGAAAACCTTCGCTGTTCAGTTAGTCCAAGTACAGTTAAAACGCATAAGGGCTCGTGAGATTATGAGAGATAATGACTTGCCACATATGTCTGTCTATTCTTTAACTTGACAGCATTTGTAAATTTAAAGGTTTATTTTAAAGCAGCAGTTATAGTTATATTGTGGGAGAAACCGTAAGGTTCACTACTTACGGTGTTTACAATATTGATTACTGAAGTCACGCATGCAGTTGCACACCACGCTCAAATCATTGCGTTGACAGTCTCCAGGGTAGCAGGGCCGTTCACGGTTACAATCGACTGAAAATATTAACAGTTCATGGCACCGTCTTACATTAATCAGATAGTGAAAAGTGAAGATATGTACATTTATACAGTTACCTTATATAAATAACGAATAATATTATCAATCGTTTCACCTGTGTCATAGAGACCCTTATGCAAATCCTCAGTTTGCCGAATTGACATTAATAGTTTTACCTCATGGCACACCAGTCGACCCTCCTTCCCGTTCACAAGAGCAACACGTGACATAAGAGTCGACACCCTTCCCGCTGACAATAACAATACATGGCACCCCAGTCGACCCTCCTTCCCGTTCACAAGAGCAACACCTGACCTCCTAGTCTACCCTCATACCAGATCACAATAACAACACGTGACACCCGAGTCGACCCTACTTCATGTTTACAATAGCAACACGTGACGCCTTAGTCGACCCCCTTTTGTGTTCACAATAGCAACACGTGACATAATAGTCGACCCCTCACCCGTTCACAATAGCAACACGTGGTGCCCCAACACGACCCTTTTTCTGATTCAGGATAACAACACATGACATCCTGGTAAACCCTACCTAACGTTCACAATAGCAACACGTGACATCCTAGTCGATCCTACTTCCCGTTCACAAGAGCAACACGTGACATCCTACTTGGCCCTATTTCATGTTCACAAGAGCAAGACAATAGCTGTTTGCTATTTTGAAAGGGATGTAGGGTCGACTAGGATGTCACGTGTTGCTATTGTGAATGGGAAGTAGGGTCGGCTATGATGTCACGTGTTGCTATTTTGAACGGGATGTAGGGTCCACTGTGATGTCCCGTGTTGCTATTCTGAACGGTCGACTAGGGTGTCAAGTGTTGCTCAAATGAACGAGAAGTAGGTTCGACTAGGAAGTCACGTGTTGCTATTGTGAACGGAATGTGCGGTTGACCAGGATGTCACGTGTTGTCATCCTGAATGAGAAGGGTCGTGTAGGGCGTCACGTGTTTCTATTTTCTATTTCACCGTAGTCGATCTTCTTTCTGGTTCACAATAGCAATATGCGACATCCTAGTCGACCATCCTTCCCGTTCACAATAGCAACACGTGACGCCTTATACGACAGGATGACAACACTTGAGATCCTGGTCGACCATCCTTCCCCCGTTCACAATAGAACACGTGACATCCTAGTCGACCATCCGAATAGTTTCTGAAATATTGACTTATAAGTGAGCATGGGCTCGGTCAGAAAAATGTCACAATGGCACAATGTCCAACTTTTTGTCGTAATTAAGTCTTAATTAATCTAATGATGTCATCGAGAGTGTTCCCAATGCCGTTTTGCTATAGCGTAACCATCTGCCGAGATGCATGCAAGATTTCACTAAAATCGGTCAAATAGTTTAGGAAATAATCACTTTTTAGTGAGCATGGGGTTGGTCTGGCGAAAGGCTAACAATCCAACGTATTGTCGTACTTGTTATATATTATCGAGGCGAGAGGTGTTTTAAGCCAAATGAAACGCAGCTCTCTGTAGTTCCCCCCGAGCTGCCTTGCTACCATCTCGTTAGGACATACTTGTAGCGATGTGTATGCTGTCTGATGGTGAAAGAAACCCAGGTCTCAGCAGTCATCACCGGGCTACCGTCTCGGGGGTTGCTCTGAGCGAGCGCCGTGGACGAGTATTAGTGTGCGTGTGTGCGTGTGTCTCGGCTCGGCTATGATGATGCACGGCCGGCTGACTAGCGAGGCTACAGATGTCTGAAGGTGAATGAAACGCATCTCTCGGCAGTTCCCCCGGGTCGCCGAGCTGCCGACTCGGTATCACCGAGCGAGCGCTGTGAGCCAGTCGCAGTGTGTGTGAGTCTTGGCTCGGCTTGTACAGCTGACCAGCTGGCTTGCTGGCTGGCTGGCTACGTTATGTTGATTTCCACTAAATCATACCACAGCCTCGCTGCCGTCTAAGTAGTACTGAATGAGCGCTGTGGGCGAGTCGCAGTGTGTGCGTGTGTGTGTCTCGGCTCGGCTATTATTCACCATGTGCAGCTCGCTGTAGAGCTGGCTGGCTGTTGGCTACATAATGTAATGATAGTTTTGGACCAGATTCCTCAATTTTACGATCCATTGCTCCTGTAGGAGTAAAAATATGGTTAGAATAATGGTGGGTCAATCAATTTTTATTTCAGTACTTAAAAAGGCCACAGGCCTGTAGTACATTTAGATTTTACATGAGTAGATAGAAATCATTTATAAATTCTCTTCTGTAACAATACTTTTTCTTAATCTCATAGCGAAATAGATGTACATTGCCAGATTCTGTAATATTGATGTGGTAGTATCTGTTAATAGTGAAATTAATGTTCTTACACTCGGATGCTTATAATAGTATGGCTTTAGGTATTTTGTTCGTAGAGTCGTATAAACAGGACAGATAAGAAGAAAATGTAGTTCATCCTCCACAGTACTAATATTACATAACTGGCATATTCTGTTTTCTCTTTGTATACCTGCATACCTGCCAGTTTCAATAAATAATTCATGGGAGGAGCAACGAAAACGAGAGAGAGCTATACGGAACTTCTTTACGCCGATTTTTGCTAAATAGTCTTCAAAACGTATGTCCGATTTCCATTGGTTATAGTATAAACATTTTGTGGATAGAAGTAGTGATTCCGACCAAGACTGGAAATGATATGATAAAATTGGTATGCAACTGAACATTGTGATCACACCACACATAACCATAACCAGTTTTGTACAACAACTCCCTAATACCACTCACCCAATTCCTTTTCCCATTTTCGTCATACAATTTCATCATATCATAACATTTTTTCGGAAACCTATGGCATGGCATATGCAGTAATCTTACCCAATACTTTATGGCTTTAATGGAAGAGTATATAAAGAAGGGGAATCTACCTAATTCTCTGTAAACCATCCTATTACATGTGTTCGGTTTTACACCAAGAAACTTTTTGCATGCATATAAATGAACTCTTTCAATACTGTCATATTGTTGTAATCCCCATATTTCAGAGCCATATAGAAGTATTGAACTTATCTTCATATCGAATATTTTAAAGAATGTGTTAAAGGACATTTCTCTCTAGGGTCTCTCTGATAGGGTCGTCTCTCTCTATCGACAGTGGTACAGCTTAGATCGATAAGTAGCACTCATTTGCAAGCGGTATCAGTGTCCTCTGGGGTGTAATGGTTACAGAGCTAGGCTTATTATGCTGAGGTCCAGCGTTCGAGCAGAAACTTTTGCGTCTTGGACGCCCTATTCAGACTGTATAGTCACCACGGCTCTGATGTTAAAATTAAAAGGGGGTGTTTGTGAGAGACGAATTTAGGCTTTGAAATTGATGGTTGATAACACGAGAAAATACAACTCTGACATATTGTTGCGTTAACTTTGCGTTTATAGTCACATAGCATACCACAACATTAATAGCACACACGCTCACAAATAATCATGAGAACTATATCATACAGTGGCCGATCGAAAAAGGGACTGTGTCGTGAGGTACAATCGTCAACTCCTCTCTGACGAAAGCTCTTGGCGGTCTGTCTTTCAAGTAGTACAAGTTCGGTTCGCCGTCTTTGATGTCGACCAGGTCTACATTGTACGTTTTCATGGACCATATTGGATCGGTGGTGCGTTTTCTGTTTTCTCCCTCGTATTCTCCCGGCTGGTACAAGTACCTAACACTGACCCGGTCCGGTAATTGTTTCTCTGCTTTATCACGACGTGCTGCTGCCGCCGACGATTCAACAGATTTCATTTTGACGGATCTCTTGCCCACGAGTCTGGTGACTTCGTGGTTGATGGCATCCACCACTCGTGGGAAGCATACGACCCATTCTGTGTTTCTGTTTTGGGGATCCATTAAATCCTGCGAGTACTGATGTGAGAACAGGCGTTCGGCTAAGGTGCGATTGAATCTCTCGACTATGGCTTGGCTTCTTCGGTGAGCTCCATCCACGCCTCGTCTCACCTGGACTTTGTGCTTGGCCATCAGTTGTGACAAGGCTCCCATGGACTCGGGTACGGGATCGATTTGCAATATGGCAGGCCAAGTCAATCTACTGCATTTGTAGATGCGTTCAAAGGCTTTGGCAACTTCGTTCCAATCTTGGGTCATCAACGGTTCGGCTTCCTTGTAGCGACTGTTGACTTTGACCACTGTCAGGGCATATTTGTAGGCTTTGAGTCTCACCCTGTCGTGAGGTAGAAACAGGAAGTCGGCTTGGTGAACGCGATTCGGTGTCGAAATGTGGAATTTTCTTCTCGGGATGTACCGAGGCGCCGGCAGGTAAACTTGCCAGATAGCTTGTTTTTAAGCCAAGCTTTGGCGACGTCTTCCGAGACTCAAGCGGCTTTGGTGAGTTTCGGGATGGTGTCCACACCTTTCCAGTACCCGCAGGGGCTGTAATAAATTTTCTCCATGATATATGTATTACGTGCGTTTTAATTATTTAATATGTGCGTGTGTCCATACACATAAGTGGTCACTCCATCGATGGCGATCCATCGTTTCGTGTCCATGGGAGACAGCAACGTTTTGTTGATTCTCAGTCTGTATATCCTGTGTCCGTCGCTTCTCAGCATGTTCATCTGGTGTTTGAACGTTTTATTCTTGAACAGGGCTTCCTTGAATCTGGCGTGCTTGATGTGTTTTTTCACCTCGTGTTTTTTCAAATCCTTTTGCCTTTCTGATTTTTGCGTCGTCTGCTTTCTAGATGGAATACATTTTGGGTCTCAAGCCGACGTACTCGGCAATCGAACTTAACATGCAATTTGAACTTAACACAAATCAGGCTATACACCATAAACAAAATGCATTGATTTATGGCCCGAGTTCGGTCTCTGTCACATTATGTAATTACACAGACAGGCAGGTGTGATATTGAACACATGACATGTTATGATGTCTGTTGATTGCAAAATGTTATACACAAAAAATGAGCATGTATTTACAAAACCTAACATCTCTACATATACACACACAATCAGCCGTGAGGGCATC